ACAAGACAGAAACTCTTTCCAAGGAGATAACCCAACCTTGTAAAATTCTCCTTATCCAAAATAAGGTAACTTATCTTGGTTATCAACTTCATAGTTAGCATACCAAAAGATTGTGAAATTTCTGCAGGACTCATAACCCAATTCCTCTCCTTTATGTCCAGGAGTCAAGGGAGGTTCTTTAGAATACATTTACACTGAGTTATGAAGTAGGTCACTCTCTCCGTGCACTGGCAGCAAGGTAATTAGAAGCAGCATGGGAAATACTAAGCACACAACTAGCAGGTCATCCTGCGGCATGCTTCCTCTTTTTCAGGTGTTCTTGAACAAGCAGCATAGTGCCCACTTAGGTCCCAAACCTCTCCCTCTTCATACACAAGAATATAAATTTTCCTTAAAAGTTACTTTTGCATATCATGACCACTTAACAGTTATATTTAGCACTGAAACTTCTAAAAGTCAGAAAGGAAACTGGCTAGATCACTTCTCAAAGCAAAATGTACAAGAGTTGAAATATCTTTTATTTTCTACATATTGTTTATTTTGGGATAGACATCGACAGAAAATATCCATATATTGCTACTGAAAAAAATATCCCATGAAACAGACCGATTTGTAAACTGTATGAAAATTCCAAAGAAAAAAAAACCCAGTTATTTTTAATGCAAATGTAGAGTTAAACAATGAATATCAATATCATAGTAGTAGAAAGAAACTCTGCTTCCAGAAGTCCTGATAATGGTGCTGTAAATCTATCAGTTAGTTTCAAAGAACTGAATTTTATCCAGGACTAGCCTATGCTGGGGGAAGACTACCTGATCTCTTGTTTGTATTTGACAATTGCTGCATCTTGTACTGAAAGTATCAAAACTACAAAGCACGTTTTTCAAAAGAGAGGATGACAAGTTATACTAAAAATAACAACAATTCTGTATTAAAAATATAAATAAATAAAATCCTTCATAAAAGATTTCACTACTATTTAGAGTTGATATGCATGACCAAGTTTCATAGAAATGTGTTCCTAAAGAACATTCTGTACTTTTAACTGTGTATCAGTCACAGCTTTTCAGCAGGCCTTTCTTTATACTTCATCTTAAAGGTGTGTTTTATTGGTCATGTGTTCTAGAAGATAAAGCAACTAGAAGAATTCCCTCTGGTTCTGTGTTTGGCTCTGACATTGAACTCTCAGAAGTTTTAGTCAAGTCACTTGATTTACAAGCCCCAGTTTCCACACATGTAAAAATTACCCATCTGGAATTCTGTTATTAAGAATATCTATAAAGCACTTCTGATGAGAGAAATGTTAAGTACTAATCAAAAGAGGGGGTATAAAATCACCAGGTTCCACATTATTATGAGCAGATATGAACTGTGGCCCCCTCAGAATCCAACAAACATCCAGATCTTTACCTCCGTCTCACCTGACCTGGGTTGTTGAGCAACTTATCTAGCACATAATAAATTATAAGGATTGAAGGAAAGCTGGCTAGTTGGCTGGCCCTGTACCAACAAAAACAAGACAGACATAAATTAACCCTCACCCCCGTGTTTCTCAACTTTTTTGGACTCGAGGCACCTCTTTGAAAATGCCAGCTCTTGCCTTCTACTCATTTTAGACTACATAAGAATTTTCTGAGTTATTTGCAACAATTCTGCTGTTGCAAATAACTCAGAAAAAGCAAAACAGGTCTGAATATTTTGAACACTGTGGCTTCCTATTTGAAATGTCTGGATTTATCATAGGAATCATGTATGCATACATAATGGTGCTGACATTGCATATACTCCAGGTCACCCTTGAAATGATCTCAAAGCATCCCAAAGGTACTACAGAACTCTGTTTGAGAATCACTGACCTATCCCCTCCCACCTCCAATCCTCTGCACATTCCAACCAGTGCAGACTACCCAGACCCTGCTTAACGGGTACTGGAGTCAGAAATGCACAGCATCAACAAAGCAGGCGGGCGCAGAGGGGGCAGCACGTGGGCTCTCTTTAAAACACTCTGGCCAGCAAAGCCATCTGGGGCCACCAATGGGTGCTTTAATTTGAAGCCCTGTGTTCTTACAGAAACTATGCTTTCAAAAGGTAGGATTTTTTTTTTTTCACTGGGTATGTCTACATGAGATGCTTTACTGCTAAGTAGCATAGTTTATTGGGCAGTTAGTATGCGAGTCTACACATGCACATGCTTACTGCACAGTAAACCTTGCTAATCATGAGTAAATTTGCCACCTGCAAATGCAAGTGGCAAATTCACTTGTGATTACCAGCTGCACAGTAATGGTTGTGTAGATGCCTAACCCAGAACAAATCTGTTTCTGGTCAGCCAGCCACCAGGGAGACTGCTCCCTGCTCCCAGGATCTGCCTGCTCCTGGGGCAGGCTCTGCCACCAGAGCCTGGATGGGTGCTCCAAGCCCCCACCTTTGAGATCACAAGTCCCCATGGATTTGCTGGCCCCATGACCTTGAAGTCGGTGCTAGCCCCATGACTGTGGAGCTGGCAATCGGAGCTCCCTGCTGGTGGGGCCTGGGGAGCCCGTTCCCCACCCACCTCTGTGAACACAGAACTGAGCAGGAAACAAGATCTCCAGCCTGTTCCCCACCCAGATCTGTGATCACGAAGTTGAGCATGGAACAAGCTCTCCAGCCCCAACCCTGTGATCTTGGAACAGAGACTGAGAACTGTCCCAGTCAGGGGCAGGTCCCAGCTCCACACCCCAATCAGGCAATCAAGGTGCAGGGCTTGGAAAGAGCTGCAGGAGTGGGACAGCTGTCTTCTGTCCTGGTACTCCCTGCCAGCCCCTGGGCTAGCACCTAGGGGAAGCCTAAAACTTCCCATGGTGGTCACAAGGGCCCCCTGCAAGGGTCCAGGAAATAAGAGCAATTTACTGCCATTAGCAGCAAATCTGCTCCTACTTCCCTACACGTGTAGATGCCTGATCAGGAATGTTTACTTGCAAGTAGTTTACTCACAAGTAAGCTGCTCCCGGATCTAATGCACGTGTACATGCACCCACTATGGATGTAATATACTCTACTGGTATTTAGCTCTCCTTATGTAAATCTTATTACGTTTCATTGAAATACTATATGCTGATCATGTTCGACTGACATTAGCTCTAGAAATAGATTTAATTAATGTCTTGTGTTTGAAATAGAATGTGTTTCCAGTTAAGCTTACAGAGGAAATCCCCCAGCAAAAGGAGGCATGAAGTAAAAAACAAAAGTGTACCCTAAAACTTAATTTTTCCTAGACTCAAAACTCTAAAATTGGATGCATTATCTTGCTTAACAGGCAGAATGTATTCAAAGATTTGACACTTTCTTTGTATGCGGAACTAACCACACTAGCTAAGATCTTCAAAGCTGCCAGAGATCTAGATGCTCAATTCCTATTAAAATATCAATTATAGGCAGCTTTGAAAATGACCCAACCCACGTCTGGTGTTCACCAGTTTATTGAAAGCTTGTCAGTCGCACTCACTCTTACAAAACAAAAAAGTTCAAACAATGTCTTAAAAAGGTGCATGTAATGCCTCAAATTTCCAATGAGGCTGAAATTCACTGATTGTTTGACCCTACACAGCACTATGTTTATATATAAGCACACTTTGATTTTTGGAGACGCAAACAACTTGTGGTAGCACTTTGAAAACTAACTCTTTAAAACAAGCAAACAAACATATTAGCTGACTGTCATTGGGCAAAACGCAGTTTTTGATATATGCATGTAGAATCCAGAAGCTCTGTGCTGTAACTAGTTAATTACTTTACACAACCATAACTCTATATTTCCAGGAAAACTTGCAGTTTAAGTGTAGGCAACGTACTAAGAAAAAACAGTTGGTCTTTTACACTCATATTACTCATAGTTTCCCATTTATCAGAAGCTGGAATAAACTTTCACCCAAAGAGCAAAGCCTTGCAATAATGTCTGGAGAGATTATTGCACAGGAGACTAGGGGGTGCGAAGGGGCTGACCAAGAAGCCACAAAAGCTGTGAATTTAGCAGAATTCTGTATGCATACATCTACAGTGAAAGAGCAGTATTAACCAGATTCTCCACTGCTCCTTGCAATATGACAAGTGGAATTTTTTCCTGATCTGGCCCCAGAAAGCAGCCTACAGTCATGACCAAATAGATGTGCATGGCTGCAGACCACTATAAAAAGGGTTCGATTCTGTAACAATCTGAACCCTCATTGCACAAGGGTTCAGAAGAACACACTCCAAAATGGAGCAGGTTCTGTACCTTGTGTCTGCAGCGCTCGCAGTCTGTCACTGTTTCCAGAATGGGAGGGGGGGTGGAAAAAGGGAGTGGAGGAGGGAGTTTGGCTTGAGGTTTTTTCAGCTGCGCCAGAGGGTGAGTGGATTGGAGCCCTGGCTCCCCCTTAAAGTGTGTGGGTGGGGTGGGCTCCAATTCCCCCCTTCCCATACCAGCTGGTGAACATAAAGAACAAGCTCCTTCTGCTCCCCTTCCACCTTCCATTCTGAAAATAGCATGAGGGCTGGGATGGAGACCAGGCTGCAGACTTGCAGCAAGCAGCTGCAATCCCTAACTTCCAGACACAACAGTGAATTTTTGTTGGGTCTGGGAGATCACTACAGTTTATAGCACTTCCTGCAAAGCACTATGAGTTGCAACGGGGAGCTGCTCTTCTGTCTGCACCCATGATCAGCAACTGCTATTCAATAACATGAATTTATTTCATTTAGCTGAAGCCAAGACGTTGTACCAGCCAAAGAAGAAAACAACAGGGGGGGGGGGGGGGGGGGGAAA